CATTTTAAGTAGGAAGAAAACAAAAACAAAAAGGAAAATTTATATGGCTGCTTCAGAAGGAATCCTTTTGAATTTATTGGCCGAATTGCCAATCACTTTTACGAAGGATGATAGCCAAGAAAGAGCATTGCCTGCGGGTTAGGTACGTCTAACTCCAAAACACATTTGAGCGTGCAGATTCAGTGTGCCGTGCTCGGAGAGATTTCATACCTTAGAGTGATAAACAGAGTACAGAGAAGGGTGCTGCCTGGAAACCATCAGGAAGCAACGAGCACAGGAGCAACACTCAAGAGTTTCTTTCTACCTGGAATCCTAAGCCTGCAGTTCTCTTTCTAAGTTAGGTGTTTTCTTTACAACAGTTGATCACCGCTCATTCTTTCCTTCTTGAAAAGAAGATATGGCTGATGACTTCTGCAACAGCCAAGTGGCTAGCGCTCGCTTCCCACTTTAAGCACTTGGCTAGGTCCAGGCAGCAGCTTGCGTGAGGTCATTGTCCTCATCTTCTCTTAACACTGTACAGAAAAGCATATGAGCTTCACACTGTGGGGAGAAAGCATAAAATAGGAGGTACCTATTTCCTTGGAGAGCTGGGATGGTGAGAGATCATATGTGAGATTATTGTTCTTCGTCACTTCTTCTGGGTTTGTTAGGAATAGCCTACAGACACCTGTGAGTCCTTTGTCCGTTGCTATGTACTGAATGCTTGAGAAATGCAGGGTAGCACAATCTTTTTGACTAAATTAAGGATGCAGAACACTTTTGCTCCTACTCCCATTGTCTCGTTCCTTCTATTTAGAGGGATAGTTCATGATAAAGCAGTATTTTCTAAAATTTTTATTCTTTACCTTGGAACATTTGCAGTTTGGTGGGTTTTTTTTCCTCTTTAGAGCTTTTACGATATGTGTTATTGTCTAACACTCTGCTGAACTTCCTACTTCAGAGTGTAAAGTTGTGTGACATAAATGTTTAAAGAGCTGTAAACTTAACCTAAGTGAGCAAATTCTGTTGCATATATTTAATCAAGCATGTATGTGCTCAAAATGTCTGTATTCAAATTAGATGACCACGTACCCTTTGCAATCAGCAGAGGGAGACAGGTGCTTCATGAGGGTGATTCACCTCTTCCTGACATGGACATCTGTCTAAAGATCATGTAAAGCATGTCCCAAATTGCTTTCTAAATCCACAAATTCTCTATGGCATGCACAACATCCTGTGGCAAGTATTTTCACAATTAATTGTGAAATAATCATTTCCAGTTCTGGGCTCTGCTTCAAGAGAGACATAGGCATACTGGAGAGAGTCTAGTGGACAGCTACAAAGACGATGAAGAGACTGGAGCATCTCTTCTGTGAGGAAGGGCCAAGAGCTGGGACTGTTCATTCTGGAGCAGAGAACGCTCAGGGGCATCTTATCAACGTATAGAAATAACTATAGGGAGAGCACCAAGAGGACAGGCTCTTTTCAGTGGTGCCCAGTGATGGGAACAGGGCACAAACTGAAACACAGGAGATTCCCTCTGCATATCAGGAAATGCTTTTTTTCCACTGTGAGGATGACCAGGCACTGGCACAGTTTGCCCAGAGAAGCTGTGGAGTCTCCATCCTTGGAGATACTCAAAAGTCCTCTATGCATGGTCCAGGGCAATTGGCTCTAGGTGGCCCTGCTTGACCAGAGGGGTTGAACAAGATGACCTCTAGAGGGTCCTTCCAACCTCAACCATTCTTGGATTTTGTGATTCCTTTGGCTTTTCCTATTCTTATATTATGGGACACAGCAACCATTCACTTTCCCTGTGCCACTAATACTTCTGTAGACCTCTATGGTACTTTTTTTTTCAGTCACTTTTGAATGGAGATCAGGTGGAGCAGAACTGAACATAGTAGTGAAGATAAGAGGTGCCATGGATGTGTATTGTAGCAGGTAGTGTATATAAATATACAGTGTATGTAGTTAGCTCCTGCTTTTCTTCTCAGTTTCTTTGCTAACAATTCTGAGCACTTGGATGATGTTTTCATAGAGCAGATTATCAAAACTTGAAGATCTGGTTTTCTTCTGGATGGTAATCATTGGTTTAGCACATGTTACTGTGCAGATAACTCTTTTCTATACATGCATAGCTTTACCTCTAGCAACACTGAGTTTTGTCTGGCAGTCTATTAGCTTGTCGCTAACTGTCATGAGATCCCTCTGTACCTCTTTATAGTTGACCTTTCTTTTTACTAAATTGCTCTGAAAAACAGTTCATGTTCATCATCAGCAAATGTCATGGCTTCACAGTTCCCTTTTCTCTCCTATAGGTTGAAGAGCTTGAGCCTCAGTGTAGATTTTCCTAGTAGAACGGTTCTGATAATCTTTTTTCACTGCAAAACTAACTGCTTCTTCTTTTGTTTCCTATTTTAAACTGATTATTGTCTGTGAGCCATTTATCTAATAGCCGATTAGTTTCTTGTAGAGCCTTGGTGGAGAGACCTTGTCAGAAACAATCAGAAATGCAAAAGTTACCTTTACTGGCTTATTGCTTACAGAGCTTTAAAAGATACTGCCCTGGGGATCTAATTTTCTGTACTCCATGGTTTTAAATCCAGAATTATTTGTGGAATTTATGCCCTTTTGCAGTCTCTGCAGAACGCTACAGCTTCCTTCCCTCTTCAGTGTTCTTGGCTTGTGGAGTCATAAACCTCAGTGGAACTTTGGGTGAGATTTTCATGTTCATTGCTAAAATCCTTGCTTATTTATCCTGGAAAGCTGTGTTAAGCTTTCTGCTGTTGGTTACAGAATTTATTCTAACAAATATGTTAAAGACTAGTAAAGGAAAGATTTATAAAGGCCAAAGACAGAAGAGATTTGGCTACTATATATGCTTCAGCCTGCAATTAACATTGAGACTCTCTCTAGAAGAGTTGCTGTAAAATAAAAATGAAAGGGAGAGAATGGAGAGAAAAGGAAAATCTAGAATATAGTTAACAGAATTTGGCATTTTTGCTTAGTATAGTATTTTAGCTTAGTATACTCTTGCTCAGTTTAACAATCTTTGAAATATAATAGGATAAAATGGAAAATTATGACTTTCCCTCCCATTCAATCAGGAAGACCTATAGAAAGTAGAGTTTATTTGACTCAATGAAATTAGGATGTTTATAATAACATCCCTTCATGAAACCATTGAAAACTAAAGGAGACAGAGATGTTAATAATTTGTCTTAAAAAATGGTGAAGGTGGTTTGGCTCTAGAAATCATCTAGTGGTATTGAGCTTGCAGGTAGGAAGGGAATAGCTTTGATATGGAATGGAAGGAACAGGTTATAGTGTTGGTGTTCGTTGGTGAATGCTTGGTAGCACTCTGAGCAGGCTTGCACTCACATCGTTAGAAGTCCAAACTGAGGACATAGGTTAGACTTTGTTTTCTTACAGTTCGTTTCTTTGTTGGTTAAATATTATCTGGGGAAGAGTAAACTTTTAATCCTCATGTGGTCCTTATGTAAATTTGTAAAAGTATTGCTTCCTCCCTTTGCCTTTGCCCAATGTTGGTACCAAAGGGAACCTGCGTTAATACTGTGGGCAGGATTTGTGTTACCAAACATAAGTTTCTTGAGTTAGTAGCACAAGCTTGTCACCATGTGCAGAGATGGAGGAGATAGATTGCCCTCTGAAGATGCCTGTATCCATCTTCTGACTAAAAACACAAAAACAGCCTGAAGTGACTCTTACAGTTATCCAGAATGAATGAGGTGAATCCCACTTTATGTTTCTGGCTATGGTGATCTGTTTTTTAAAAGGGCATCGAATTCTTCTGGTTTCCAGCATGATCAGATGCCAGAGTGCTCTGAGAGCGTTTAATTCAGTAGTCCAAGAGAGAGGGAAGGAGTTCTTTGAAGATCTACACCAGAAAGGAGAAACAACTCTCAACTCCTTTGCGTTTTAATTGTCTATAAGAACAGTACATGTAATAATACAATACATGTAATAATAGCACAAGACAGTACACTTAAACTATAAAAGGAAATGTTGCATTGTATCAGCATAACAATGACAGAGGGAGTTCAGCAGAATGCCTAGGGATTAGATTTACAAGGAAAAATAGGGCGCACATGGTTAAATTATCTGGGATACCAAGATGAATTAACAAAGATATATCTAGACCAGTGAAAGCAGGAAACCTTACTGCAGGGGGAAGGGTTGTAGCGACTGAAGAAGAGTTAGTTTCCTGCACCTTGATATGAGTCAGTCACTAAATGAAACAAATTGAGAAGTACTTTAATCCTGTGGACAAGTTATTTAATGATTAATAACAGGTTAGGATGTTTTACATGTTTTTCCTGAGGCATCTGCTGCTGCTGACTGACATGGAATCAAGGATTTTGTATTATGTAGGATAGCTCAGATGGGTAGGCTTTTCAGTGCTTACCAAACAGGCAAATACATGATACTGATACTATTTAAGCTATTTGGAAATATTATTAAAGTTTCTAGCTGTTGGCAGTTTCAAAACAAAATCATGAAGTTAGTTTAAAAATTGAGATTTAAATAAAAATACTGGTTTGATTTATTTACTCTTAATCAGTAAAGGTTTTTTTTCAAATGCAAAAGTTGTCCTGTCCTGGTTATAGTAGGAAAAGACTGGTGAGTGAGAGTATTTTGCAGTATCAGCAAGTCTACAGGAGCAAGATCTGTATAAAAAAAGCCCAAATATTATGAGACTTCTGTGACTGATGCTTAAGTAATTTGTGTCGACTTAAAGTGTAAATATGTATTAAGGATCCTTTTGTCATTAAGGAAAGTGGAGCAATCATTTGGCTCCCATTGGTTTCAGAGAGCCTTGCTTTGTTTCTTTAAATTTCTTTCTTCTTTTTCAGATGGAAATACTGACATGAATTTAAGAACTTTGATGCTTTCAGATGTTGAATTTTGATTTGTTAAATGACCAGGAGTAAGATACTGCCTGAACAAGATGAAATGCCTTGGAGACCTTTGGTTCTGCTTTCATTTCTCCTGAAGTGATGGTTTTCTCCGCAATGTTGACGGTGGCCCACTCTGGGACCTCAAATGCTACTTTTATTGTTTATGAAAATGCCTATACGAATTTTACCACTCCCCAGTTCTTGCTTCGTAGTGGCACAGCACAGCCATTGAGATACAGTTCAGGTGCCGTGCTCACCACTGAGAGAAGTACTTTTCTGATAAACGCTACAGCTATCCTGCCATCGCAAGAAGTTTTCAGGAGCTTGAGTTTACCACTCCAGATCATTCTTTCTGCTGCTATGATATTTATCCTGTTGGTTTCTTTCCTTGGAAACTTTGTTGTCTGCCTCATGGTCTACCAGAAGGCAGCTATGCGATCTGCAATTAACATCCTCTTAGCAAGCCTGGCTTTTGCAGACATGTTGCTGGCAGTGCTGAACATGCCTTTTGCTCTGATAACAATCATTACCACTCAGTGGATTTTTGGGGATATATTCTGCAGAGTCTCTGCCATGTTCTTCTGGCTTTTTGTCATAGAGGGGGTAGCCATTCTTCTTATTATTAGTATTGACCGATTTCTTATCATAGTTCAGAGGCAAGATAGACTGAACCCGTACCGTGCAAAGATTCTCATTGTCATTTCCTGGGCAGCATCCTTTGTTGTTGCTTTTCCATTATCAGTAGGGAATCCTAATCTGCAGATACCCTCGAGAGCACCTCAGTGTGTTTTTGGCTACTCTACAAGCCCAGGTTACCGAGCCTACGTGATAGTTATCTTGCTAATTTCTTTTTTTATTCCATTCCTGGTAATGCTGTATTCTTTTATGGGCATACTCAACACCGTTCGCCACAATGCAGTTCGTATCCATAGCCACCCTGATAGCATATGTCTCAGCCAGGCCAGCAAACTTGGTCTCATGAGCTTACAGAGACCTTTTCAGATGAATATTGATATGAGCTTTAAAACTCGTGCCTTCACAACCATCTTGATTTTGTTCCTTGTCTTCATAGTCTGTTGGGCACCCTTCACCACTTACAGCCTTATTGCCACATTCAACAGCCACTTCTACTACAAGCACAACTTTTTTGAGATAAGCACTTGGCTCCTTTGGCTCTGCTACCTCAAGTCTGCACTGAACCCACTGATTTACTACTGGAGGATTAAGAAGTTTCATGATGCGTGCTTGGACTTGATGCCCAAATACTTCAAATTTTTGCCACAGCTACCTGGCCATACAAGGCGACGCATTCGACCCAGTGCCATCTATGTATGTGGGGAACATCGGTCGGTAGTGTGAAGCTGTGGTTGTTTGACAGTGATTGTTATTTTCTGGGATTATTTGTTTTTAGGCTTTATGTTGAATTTTGTTTTGCTTAATATGGCTTCTTCAGTGTGGCCATATATTACAACTTGATCAAATTTTCCAGTACTCTGTGCAATTTTGGGAGGAAAGATGGAGGGAGGGAAAGTGATTGGTTATTGTTGAGTTTACTACCAGAATACAATGTAAACAAAATAACAAATGTTACCTCTAGGATTCCATGGAAATCCATTCTTTTAAATGAAAACTACATTTGTAACATTTTGTCAGGTTTATGCTTATTAGACCTGCAATTGCATCTGATTGTAGGGACTTTTTATGCTGCTAAGATACAGTATATTTAGATGGTGTGATTTTTCTGGAAAATGTTGCTGCTGTCTGCCAATGTATTAGAGCCAAAAAGTCTCATTAGAGTACTTCTATTTAATTTTAACAATATATCAGAAGTTTTCATGGTGACACTAGAAAACTTTTTTTTAATATTTCCATTAATATTTTTGTGCACTTTACAAGATTTACTATAGAATTTGTTCTTTGGAATGTTTTGTTCTGTATTGAAGGGTTATTATTATTTATTATTTGTTATCTTGATGAATTTCAATGAAAGACTCATGTAAGCTCTAGGAGGGCAATTTATAGCTACGCATACAGTCATAGATTTGCTGTTTTTCTAACAACTGGTCAAAAGTAACATTAACTGCTCAGTTATCAAGGGAGTTGGAAGGAGAAAATGGAGGAATGAAAGGGAAAGAAAGCAATGAAAATACTATGTCCTCAGGTTTAGGCCAACACAAGACTTAGAAAAACAGAGTTCATGTGAGAATTGTCACAGGGGAAATGAGTGGCTGCAGTTGCTACTTTAGGCTGTTACCAGCTATCTAAACCTGATGGTATGCCTGAAAACCTGTCTGGAATTGTGACTTTGGGCCTACGATTTACACTATGTTGGTATAACACTGTTCCTGCTTGGAGCTCGTATAAGGCTAGGTGTGTTCTACACTGATGAAGTCATGCTGAGGTGTTCGTTGGGATAGAATTAGAGATAGTAGGGTAAACCAGCAAACAAATAGCACATGAATCTTAGTTGAGGCTAGGACTTAGTCTACCTGGTAATGACTGGGAAAAAAAAATCCTCAACTTTCTTGTTTTCCGGTTTAACTGTTAGACTGAAACCCTGAACTGATAATGGTGAAAAACAGTTGACTAGCAGATATTGCTGGGGATGTAAGTTAAATTCCCCTTTTTCATCCGATACTACTTTACATAGGTTTTTTGTTGCCTCTTTTCCTCTAGTGCCTGCTGCCTCAAGGGTTTACTCTGCTTTTCTCATCATCAGCTTCTCTCCCTGAAATGCCAAACCACCTTTCTGATTAATGTCAGGCTGTCTCGGTACCTACCTGGAAGGCAGAAAGGCAAAGGTTTTCCTTGATGATAGCAATTCAGACTCAGATACTTTTTTTTTTTTAATCATCTAAATAAATATTTAATGTGAGGTAAGTAAAATTAAGACCTAGGTTTGGACTTTGAAGTGAGATCCCTAGTTGCTCGGAGGCTGAGGAAGAACGTCTGCAGAATTTGTGTGTCCTTGCAATGGGCTTTTTGGAGCTGTCTGTGACCAAGTACAGGGAGATTAATGTACAACAAACTTATCAACCAGGGCTAGGGTTTGGGCTGTTCTTGTACCTGAGGAGCAAATAATAGCAATTTTATCTATTTCTATCTATCCACACAGTACATGCCTATGAAGGAAATGCCCTGTTCTGTGTGGATGTCCAGGGGCTGCTTGCTTCCTGAGGCCAACTAAATATTTACACCCTGGATTTTATTTAGGTCCTCAGTGAAGAACTAATTTAAGTTATCCCTGTTCTTCTTATCAACAACTATCAGTAAAAGTGTTGGCAGAATTTAAATTTTAAGTGTATAAAATGAACAATTTTGAATTTAGTAATTTCATTTAAAAAAAAAAAAAGCTGCTAGCTGAGGTTGTGGGTTACACGTAAAGGCACCCAGGCAGTGGTGATGTTATTGATGTCTGTGCTTTCCATTCCTTGTCAACTTCACTGATGATGGTATGGATTTTCCTGATCAAAATGACAGGCAGTAAAGGAGTTCCACTGTAAACCAGAGTGGTTTAGTGTGTCTTTGCAGTATAGCTTTTATTTCTCGATTACATTTACATTGATAGCGGACGTTTAGGACCTGGTTAGTATGGATTTTCTGTTTCAGAGCTGTCATGCCTGTTTATCTCTGAAAGCAGCAAAATAGTGCTTAGAGCTAATGTAATAGAGTGAGAGCATGCACTGTCTAAGAAGGCAGGAACAGGTATTTTTGCTGTCTTCCAGAGCTATAATGTAAGAGGTTTGAATGAATGTTGTGAAACATGGTAATTCAAGAAGGAAAGAAGATGAGTAATACAGGAAAGTCAGTGAAATTACTATCCTGAAGGCGAAGGGGAAGGGGAAAACATTTTGTGGGGATTTCATAATCTCAGATAAGTACTGGCTGTGAAGTAGAAACTGTAACCATCAAGAAGTTAATTTGTCTTGATAATAAAGTGTTTGTTTACACTGTAACAGGATTTCCGCTCAGACCGACCTCTGCTGATACTTAGAGAAAAGAAACCCAAACTGTGTGGCCCAAATTCAGAGGTGACTTACATGATGATACAGTATTCGCACTTACCAGATTTCAGAGATGATTAGAGCATACAGTGAACAAAAGGGTGTTCAGAAAAAGAAACAAGGTGGCATAGAAGCATCCCCAGGGTAATTATGTGTTTACAGAACCATTTGGGCTATTGTGTCTAATATACTGTCTTTAAAGCAGTGCCTTGATAATTACAGCTGAAGTCCTAGGACCAAGTTAAGACTGCTAAACTGCTCAGTCTTGCTGTCTGTAATCCTGTCAAGATGAGCATAACCTTGCTAACATTTATAATATTAAAACAAGTCTATGTTGGCAGGATTTGGGCTACTGATGCATTTTAGTGGGTTTGACCAAGACCAAGACTTTTAAAAGCTGAAATTGATCCTTCTTGATTCAACTGGGGAATTATAATTTTCTTCCTCTCCAGAAATTATACTCGTTACTATACTGTATTTCCTCATGTTACATGTTTGTAATCTTTGATATGGAGGATTGAAATGAATGTATTTTGAATTATGTTGCAGTTTAATTCATTCCGTCAAAGCATGCTGCTTACACAAGTCTTATTTGTACAAATCTATTGCTAAAATGATTCTTTTGTACTCAAAGTTGTGTATTTTTGACATTTATTATTACTCATGTAAAAATATGTATATAGAGAAGAAAATTGATTTGCCTCTTACTGCTTTCTGTTAGAATTTTTTTCGCTTGTATGCTTAATGCTTTCATATTTTCTTTTATTTGGGCATATGCATAAACAACTGCAAGATTTCAGTGGTCTTTCTGCAACTGTTTGAGATTTTTAATTCTTAAATCATTCAACAATGCCCTCCTTGAAAGAGATTTTGATTTATTTTGTGTGGAAAATAAAATTCAGAGCACAAGTTTGTTGTGGTTGGAATGGTGAGGAACTTAAGTCCAGTTTTCCAGGAGCCACTACTCTGCCATTATGAACTGGTTTCATCTTTTTTTGAGGAGTAGTCATTTTCTGATGTGGAGAAACCTTGAATTACTGTTTTAAAACAAGCTACTAAGTAGAATGGCATTGTCCTTTCTGTACATATTACACCTGTGAAAATACCTGAGAGACAAAAACAAAACAAAAAAACCCATGAACATTCTCCAAAAATGTAGCAAAAGTCTATAGAATTGCTCTCTTTGTGCATTCACAGGTTTCTTGGATTTAATATCCAACTTCGTAGTTTCAAACACTTTGTTTTATCTGTATATTAAATAACAAAGATTGTTTGCCTGCTTTAGATGGTTTTGTTTAAGCCAAAATATTTCTTGTGTAAAAAATTTAGAGTGCCCTTTTCTGAGACATTGGGGTAGAGCTGTGTCAATAAATCTAAACCAAATGAAATAATATACAGCAAAAGAGAGAAAAAGCCTAAAAAGAAAAGAACTTTCCTAAAAATACTACCTGAACTGGGTATACTACCTTTTAGCTAGGACTGAGTAGTTAAGATCATCTTATTGTGCAATAAATAAAGCAGGGAGTGGTACTGCATGGCTTGATTCATTTCAACACATGACAGTGACCTTTTTGATTCAAGTGCTGCGTGTTTGTGTGTGATGGATTATTCCCCATATTAGTAGAAGGAAAAACGTTCAGCATCTTGGCTGTTTTGGGGAAATTTTTCAGCTTGCTAGTGATTTAGCAGAAATTCTGCTGGAGTTATTACTCTAAACGATAGAGAGTCAAGGCCTGTCCCTAAAGAATGCTGAGAGGGGATGGGTGTTTCCAGTTGCCTGAGAAGGGCCTTGCTCATGCTGCCTACATTCCTAATTTTGAGACTCCTTCCCTGTGCCTCTGCAACAACCACTTTTTCCTCCCTCTACCTTCCCGAGGTAGCACCTTCTGCACTGCTGTGTTGCGGGAGGTCGAGTGGTGGCAGGAGGCGGTGGAGGTGCCTGGAGAAGCTGTGGAGCCAGCAAGCCTCTTTCATCTAGTGCCACTCCCTCCTGTCTTGAGTACAGTTTGGACCATCTGTGATGGGCTGAGGGAGAGTTTTACGCACTTTGGTATGAGATTTGAGCTGTCAGGGAAGAGCTATTACAGGAGCACATATATTTGCCTCTAGTGCTAGTGCAGGATTCTGATTTTATCCCTAGCAGTGTTACAGGTTTTATTCCACCTCTCATCTTTTGGCACCTGAGCTACAACAGCCTATAGCCAATTCATGGCTGAATAAGAATCCCTTAGCTGACTTGTGTCCCTGTGAGTGCCTTTGGCTAGAACCTGCTGGTAAGCATCCACCAGAATAGAAGTTGCTACAGCTTGCTCTCAAACAAAAGTTGCATTCGTGAAGACAATCACAACTCTGCTC